TGCTAGCAGCCTTCCTCCCACACTGCTGGAGAGTTGTACTCAAATCACCCGGCTGCCCCCCCAGAAGAGTCTGAAATCCACCACATCACCAGGAAGTACGCCAACACATTCAGAAGATCTCCATGAAACCACCGCAGCACCCAAACAAACCCCCCAACAATCCACTATGTTACCCACTGAAACTACATCAGTGGCACCCCAGAGTGTCCCCCAAACCCCCTCACCACCACCCCAGAACACCTTCCATACCACACACCCCCTTCTAGCTACAATAGAAAACCCTGTAGGACCTCCGGTACCTCCTGAAACTATCTTCCAAACCACTCCACTGCCCCTTCCAGTGACTCCTCAGAGTTGGCAATCACCTCCTGGCTCATCTCAAAGTTCTGTCCACAGACCCAGTCAGTACCCACCAAGTGTTAACCAAAATATTACCCAGAATTCCTCCAGATCACCTAACAGAACTCTCCAAAGTGTCACTCAGTGTCTTTCTGACGGCCAACCAGATGCCTCCAAATCACTTTCAACCTTACCCCATAACAGTATCCACAGTGCCTCCGAATCGCTGTCAGCATCTGCCCCACATCCTGCCAGAGTTCCTACCACCCCTGAGTTAAGTCCCTCACACCCTGACCCCTTCCTGTTAACCACAGTAACTTTCACCTCTAGTGTCTCCTCCCACCTGTATTCCTCCCTCTGTTCCTCTTCTGCCTCCTTCCCTCGCACCTTCAACTCTCTGGACCCTCCCCTTGGTCTGCCTCCCATGATGTCATCAGCCACCACTCACATGACCTCTCCACCTCCGACTCTGAGTCCACCCCCTCCCGAGTTAACCCCACCACCTGCTCAGCTACTGGGCTCAGATGATGAAGAGCAGGAAGACCCAACAGACTACTGCAAAGGTGAGATTTATTTCCAGAGAGGGGTTAACTTCAAGTCAAGTCAAGATTTTTATTTGTCATTTATGCATAAACAGACAGTGTAGACATAGAGGAATTCTTGTGCAGCTCTACTTTGGAGTCAGGTAAAAACTGACTAAAAAGAACTTGCATTTCACAGTTTTTGATTAAAATTACTGATATATATAAAATTCCCCACTCACCCCCCACTTTGGGGCGATCTTGTATTACTTTCGTCAAGCTGGGGTCCTCTACCAGAGGCCTGGGAGCTTAAGGGTCCTGCGCAGTATTTTAGCAGTTCCTAGCACTGCACTTTTCTGGACAGAGATCTCAGATGTTGTTCCTGGGATCTGTTGGAGCCACTCTCCCAGTTTGGGGGTCACAGCCCCCAATGTTCCTATTACCACACGGACCACCTGTGCCTGCACCTTCCACATCTTTTCTAGCTCTTCTTTCAGCCCTTGGTATTTCTGAAGCTTCTCGTGTTCCTTCTTACTGATGTTGCTATCGCTTGGGATTGCTACATCTATCACTACGGCCTTTTTCTTCTGTTTGTCCACCACTACTATGTCCGGTTGGTTGGCCATTACCAATTTGTATCTGGAAGTCCCTCTTCAGACCTCCACCCCCAGACTCCGAGAAAGCTAAATATTCTGAACTATTATTTGGTACTTACATGAGATCAGACAACAGTCAACCGTTTTCCTTTTGATGACCCTCATTCGCATAGAAAACTCTGTCATACAAGTCGTCAGGTCCCTGAACCGGGTGTACTCATTGCAGTGTCTTCATAGTCATATCTACAGTGAATCTTTGACCCCTGCAGTGTTTTCTACAGTTTATTCTGTTCTGTTTGTGTTTCAGGTGGTTATTACCCGGTAAAGATCGGTGACTTGTTCAATGGGAGGTACCATGTGGTCAGAAAACTGGGCTGGGGACATTTTTCCACAGTCTGGCTCTGCTGGGATTTACAGTATGCCACATATTATACTCATTAATCATGCATGCCTTGTGTTGAAGCCCTTTTATGGCCTTTTGCATAGTTTCAGTTCACAGTACTGTCACATTTTTGGAACCTTTGTGTTTAGGAAGAAGCGATTTGTGGCATTGAAGGTGGTGAAGAGCGCCCCACATTACACTGAGACGGCTCTGGATGAGATCAAACTGCTCAGATGTGTGAGTCTCAGATACAAAATACAGCAGTGGTTTCCAACCCCTGATGGCAGACCTTCAACATCTGCTAAAGGGCAGTGAGGAGACAATATGATTTGGATTTAAGTAGTTTACAATAATTCTAAAATTAAATCAGCTGTTGGTGCTGTTAAACTTTGTGCTGTGCCTTTCCCTGTCATACCCGAACAACAACACACTGATTGTGTTTAATGTGTTTAAAGACTGGTAACCAGTCTGTCTGTGTGTCCAGGTGAGGGACAGTGACCCCTCTGACCCCTACAGAGAAACCATTGTCCAACTGATAGACGACTTCAAGATCTCTGGTGTCAATGGAGTCCGTATCCTTCATCACTAGTCTGTCTGCTAACCTGTCAACTTATTTATCTGTCTGTTAGTCAGTTGTTTCCTCAGCCTGTCTCAGATGTCTGTATGGTTCTTGAGGTTTTGGGTCATCAGCTTTTAAAATTCATCATCAAGTCAAACTACATGGGACTTCCTCTGGTCTGTGTCAAGACCATCACCAGACAGGTACCACTTTAATGTCTTGTGCTTGTAGACATCTGTAGTGACTCTGACTTGTTCAGTTTCAATTCAGTTCAGTTTGAGAGGAGAGGAGCTCAGAGCATCAGGTGGGCACAAAACTGCTTTGCAACAGCTTTTTCCTGAATTTTAGAAATAAACGAGAATTGGATATCTGTCTATAATTAGCTAGAACACCTGGGTCCAGAGTAGGCTTTTTGAGTAGAGGTTTATTGACATCTGCACACACTTGGTCTCATTGACCTCTGAAGTGATTCAGCTGTGTGTACTTGCAGGTTCTTCAGGGTCTGGACTACCTCCACACTAAGTGTAAGATCATCCACACTGATATCAAACCAGAGAACATCTTATTGGATGTCGATGAGGTTTATATCAGGAGATTAGCTGCTGAAGCCACCATCTGGCAGAGAGCTGGAGCCCCACCCCCTTCTGGATCATCAGGTGAGGGGCAGCCAGACATGACTGGAAACTGATATTGGCTATTTGTTCTGTGATACAGTAGCTTCTTCAGATAGCATTGGTCTGGCTGTTTTTAGACTTTTTTGCTGTCTGAAGGAAATATTTAAAGAACAGAAAACACCACAGTCACACAACACACAAAGTCATGCTATTGTGCTGCCTTTTTCTTGCGTCACAGTTGTCTCATTTAGACAAATGTAGCTCTGCAGCAGACATACATCAGAACCTGTCCAAGTCAGGCTTAGACCAGGCTTTCATCAGGCCACCTCAACCTAATATCACACAGTGTTGACAGAGTTTAGGCGAGGAGTTGGACAGTAGTGTAACTGGGAGCTGTGGTTTCCACTCTGGTCATGCTGACAGATGTGTAGCTGTCTCTCTGACTGTCTGCTTAGCTGCATTCTCTCCTTCTAACTGAGCTGATTTCCTCTTTCTCTCTTTAATTATTCTGCTGCTTTTTATTTCCAATCTTCCTTCTGTCCTTCCTCTGTTTCTGATGTTCTCTTCCTGTCTCTCTCCCTGTCTGCTTATGTGTGCCTCTCTAGTTAGCACGGCTCCCAGGGATCTACAGGTAAGTGTCCAGGTGTGATGTCTGCTGTGTTCTCAGTGGTTGCTGCCAGTTTGGATTGAGGTTTGCACTAAAACTCACTAAAACACTGCTGAACATAAAACCTAAATAAACTGTGAGCAGGAGCTGAGGCGTCCTGGGAGGCGAAAGGTTAAGATACAATATAACGTGGTGACGGTAATGCCACAGTTTGGACTTCTGTTGAATTACCCCCCACCAACCCTTACCCCTGTTTTTTTGTTGTTGTTGTTGTTGTTTTTATTTACTGAGGACTTTCTTGTTTTAACCTGTAGAGTATAACTGCATGTGAAAAATAATACGACTGTTTATCTAAATGAGCCATTTTATTTTGTAAATAATTTTTTTTAAATCTTAAGGAAAATACTGACAAGCTCTCTCTCTTTGCTGTGCACACACACTCACTCATGAACTGAACTGATGGAAGATCCCCCCAATCCCATTTTAATGTCACTCCTGCTCATCAGAATCTGATTCTGAAGCTTGAGGCCATAAAAATTTGGCCTTATGGCCTTTTAGTCGCAGCATTTAAACTATTAGTTCTCTTGTATCTGAAGTGTGCTCAGAACATACCAAAAAGAACATTGTCTGGCTCGTCTCATTGTAAATTAACCAATAAAGCGATTCTCCACTTTTGGTATTTTCCGGGGTGGGGGGGGGGGGGGGGGTGCTAATTTCCAACCATGGTGTTCAGTAGTGTGTAGTTTCAGTAACAAAGTGTGTGGACATTGTACGGTGCGTTGGTGTGTAGAGACATCACTGTGTGTACTGTTCTCTGTGTGTTAATTTGTGTGTAGGTTGGTAAAGTGTCAAAGAACAAGAAGAAGAAGTTGAAAAGGAAAGAAAAGCGTCAACAAAGACTGTTGGAGGAGAGACTGATGGACATACAGGTACTGCTGTAATACTACTGCAATGCTGCTGCTGTCTCTACACCCTATACAGCTGCCACTGCCAGTACTTATTACTACTAATCAGCAGCTGTGTCCTGTTAACCAATCAGAATAAAACAGGAAATGACAGTTGATCCCTTCAAAATAAACGTTTCCACTTTTGATGTTTGTCTGTGTGATTAGAGAATGGAGGAGGAGGACAGTCTGTTACAACCTGATGACACAGGCAGTAACTGTGAGTACACACTGATATACATACTGGTACACACAGTTACTATGCACAGTAAATCAAAGAACTTGTACTGTATAAATACTCTGTAAAATGCACAAGTGTTTCTTTGATCTCAGGTTCTCTGGTCATCAATGGCAACACTTCCTGCTCCACAGCCAATAATAAAGCGAGTCCGGAGTCTACCTGCTCTGGGTTGGAGGACAGATGTAATGGCTATACACCAGGCCGTTTCTCCAGCCCCGCCTCCGGCCTATCAGGTTTCTCCAGTTCTGTGATGTCAGCGACGTCTGAGTCAGCACTTTCTACTCAGTCAGGCTACTCGAGTGGACGAGACGGTGAAATACACACATTTACATACATCCACACATCGGTTTACACACCTGTCAGGCAACATGACGTCCCTCTCCCTCTTCAGTGTTCAGTGCATCAGATTTCATCCTCAATCCTCTGGATCCTCAGAACGCCGACAAACTGAGAGTGAAGATCGCTGATTTGGGAAATGCATGCTGGGTGGTGAGGCATCTTCATCATTTACTCTCCCTTGTCTTCCTCGTGGTAGTCTTTATCTTTAGACCCATCAGGTGACTCCTGTCTCTCTCTCACTCTCTCTTTTGCCCAGCACAAACACTTCACAGAGGACATTCAGACCAGACAGTACAGAGCTCTGGAGGTTCTGATTGGAGCAGAGTATGGACCACCTGCTGACATCTGGAGCACCGCCTGCATGGTACAAATACACACTGTACTATTCACTGATGTCTACACAATGATGTCTGTGCTTTCATACATTTTTTGTTATTAAATAGAGTAATGCTGTAGTGCCACTGTGCTTACTGTTGTGTTGTTCATCCGACCTTTCGCTGCTACACTAGATGGCTTTCTCACAGTACGTGTTGGCTGCTGTCTTCCTGTGCATATTTCTCTAAAACTATCTCATTTTGACCCACTCTTGCTTCAGCAGCACTAGCCGAAGGCTGGGAATAATTGGTCAGACTGTTCAGCTTTCCCACGGGTTTTTCAATACTCCTCTGCCATATATTCATATATATATGTGTGTGTGT